AACACTACTTTTAGATCAGTTGAAAGTGCTGTGGCAGCGGGGTAGATGCATGAGCATTCATTTGCGTTATTTTAACGTTATGTTTAGTTTTTAAATAAAACCTAGAAGCTAATACACAAATATGGACATGCCTATGTTCAAGCATTTCATACAGTGGGCTTAAACAGCCTTTTGCAGCAGCTTTAGTTCACAAATAATGGACACTCATGACCTAAATATGATTTTCATTTACAATAACATACAATGCGGCATTAGTAACTTACTTTTCACGCCATCAGTCGCACGCGCACCCGAGCTCCGAGGATTTGCTCATTTTGAGTGGATTCAGTGAATCATTAACTCGGCGAGTCGTTGACTGGAGACTCGCTCTGACCGGATCATTTGAATCAGCGAGTCGTTCACTGGAGACTCGCTCTGACCGGATCATTTGAATCAGCGAGTCGTTCACTGGAGACTCGCTCTGACCGGATCATTTGAATCAGCGAGTCGTTCACTGGAGACTCACTCTGACCGGATCATTTGAATCAGTGAGTCGGCCATGTCACGTGATTTCATGGTTCACCGATCTCGGATCAGATTCATAGTTTCGGTTCAGTTTTAATGACAAACACGTGTGTAATTAGAGCGATATAGTTAATAAATTGGCCTGATTAGCCATGTCCTCCCATAAGAGACACAAAACAAGCACCACAATTTAATAAAAGCGCACAAATTATACACACAGATCCTATTTTATAGTATTTTATGATTTGTACGTTAGCCATATGAACGCTTTGAAACCTGGTTATTAGACATTTGTTGTGTTCTCGTTGCATTTGCATAGTTTGACCAGCAGGTGTCGCCTTTTGACCTGATTTCGGATCAGTTTTCAAAATTTGTTGACATTTTTAATTTGAAACATTTGTGTAATTAAAAGGAAGAAACATGATTAGATAGTAGTCTCTTACTGGCCTGTGTAGACAAGTCCTCCATAAAACATTTGACTGCATTTACACGGTTTTGACCAGCAGGGGTCGCCAGCGTGTGGCGTTTCGAAACAGTGAATCATTTTGAAACGCAAGTGATTCAATTGATTCAAAGCTTCGAAACGGTTCGTTTCTCCCAGCACTGCACGCGGGTATTTTGCGTATGGCACAGTAACATTAAATAAAGTTCTGAACTCAGTTTTCCAGAAGTTGAGGTCTGGAAAAGCAACTTCATTTAAAAAGAAAACAAGTTTTTTTTTCTGACCCCATTGGCAGATATTTTTTATTTGATCAGAAATACAGAAAAATACTGGAATATTGTGAAATATTATTGCAATTTTAAAAAATGGTTTTCTATTTTAATATACTTTCAAATATAATGTATTTCTGTGATGCGCAGCTGTATTTTCAGCATCATGACTCCAGTCTTCAGAGTCACATGATCTTCAGAAATCATTCTAATATGCTGATTTATTAGTTTTTGCTGCTTCATATTTTTTTGGAACCTCTGATACTTTTTTCAGGATTCTTTGATGAATAAAAAGTTAAAAGGACAGTTTTGATTTAAAATAGAAATCTTTTCTAACAATATGTGTTTATTATCGTATTAGTATAATACGATATAAGTATTAATTTCTTTCAAAAATAGAAAGAAAAAAAATACGGACCCCAAAAAGATTTCTATTTTGAATAAAAACTAACAAAGAATCCTGAAAAAAATATCAGAGGTTCCAAAAAAATATGAAGCAGTGCAACAGTTTCCAACATTGATAATAAATCAGCATATTATACTGATTTCTGAAGATCATGTGACACTGAAGACTGGAGTAATGATGCTGAAAATACAGCTGCGCATCACAGGAATAAATTATATTTTAAAGTATATTAAAATAGAAAACCATTTTTTAAAATTGCAATAATATTTCACAATATTCCAGTATTTTTCTGTATTTTTGATCAAATAAATGCAGCCTTGATGAGCAGAAGAGACTTGTGTAAAACAGCAGTGTAGATCACATTATTTCAAAGGATGAACACAGCATGCACACAAAAGAGGAACAGCAGTTTGTTTGTGAAGTTTATGTGGATTGAGGTTCTTCACACAAAGCTGCTCATAAGAATACATATTCAAACGTTTATTTTTTTTCCAAACGAACACACATTAAACCTCTGTGATGCGGTGGATTGCTCAGCTACTTGAAGTCACACGATACACAAGAATGGCACCAAAAGACGAACGAGTTTGACCTGGACACAAACCAAAGAAGACCCATCAAGTGATGTGAAGCCCGTTCTGAATCCGTTCATTAACACAGTACAGCATTTCTTTTGTTTCAGTATTTACAGCTCAACGCCGAGATGATATTATAGACTCTGTGTTGGCCTGTAAACCGGAGACGGTTGTTAACTCGCTCGTGTGTTTGACAGAACAGGCAAGAGTGAAATGAACACTCTTGAGCTCGAGTCTAAACCTAAAGATGAGACTAATCTGTCATTATGCAGCATGCAATACGGGAAGCCACACGCACCAAAAGTGGGACAAAACGGCACGGTATTAAAGAGGAGGACGGGTTCATTTTGAACGAATCTTTAATATGACTCGGGAACATCGAGGGATTCGTTCATTCCGAAACAGGAAACAGAAATGATTCGTTCACCTCTCGAGTCTTCAGGTCTGAGTCGTTCGTTCTTTTGTTATAGAAATGAGTTAATAATTCCAATCTTCCTCGCAAGCAGTTACGTGATGCATTTCTGGTCTCAAACTGTAGCTTTTTATTTCTTACAATTTATACTTTTGTAAATTTCTGTCATGATGATTCTTTTCATTAACATCGAATGTGGCAATAAAGGGTTGATTAATGCTTTAAACTTTATCCGTATGATGGGGAAAATCACTTTGATAAAGCAAAGATGCCTACATATAATAACAACATTAATATGTTATATTTGTGTCTTTTGTCAACACGCTCGTTGCTAGGGTGTTCTGGGTGGTTGCTATGCAGTTGCTATGGTACCCAGGGTGGTTGCTATGCGGTTGCCAAGGTACTCGAAGTGGTTGCTAAGGTGTTGCTCTGCGGTTGCTAGGGTCCCTGGGGTGGTTGATAGGGTGTTGCAATGCGGTTGCTAGGGTGTTCTGGGTGGTTGCTAGGGTGTTGCTATGCAGTTGCTAGGGTACTCAGGGTGGTTGCTAAGGTGTTGATATGCGGTTGCTATGGTACCCAAGGTAGTTGCTAGGGGGGTTGCTATGCGGTTGCCAAGGCACTCGGGGTGGTTGCTAAGGTGTTGCTCTGTGGTTGCTAGGGTACCCGGGGTGGTTGATAGGGTGTTGCTATGCGGTTGCTAAGGTGTTCTGGGTGGTTGCTAGGCAGTTGCTAGGGTGTTGCTATGCAGTTGCTAGGGTACTCAGGGTGATTGCTAAGGTGTTGATATGCGGTTGCTATGGTATCCGGGGTGGTTGCTATGCGGTTGCCAAGGTACTCGGGGTGGTTTCTAAGGTGTTGCTATGCGGTTGCTAGTGTGTTCTGGGTGGTTGCTAGGCAGTTGCTATGCAGTTGCTATGGTACCCGGGGTGGTTGCTATTCAGTTGCCAAGGTACTCAGGGTGGTTTCTAAGGTGTTGCTCTGCAGTTGCTAGGGTACCTGGGGTGGTTGATAGAGTGTTGCTATGCGGTTGCTAGGGTGTTCTGGGTGGTTGCTAGGCGGTTGCTAGGGTTTTGCTATGCAGTTGCTAGGGTACTCAGGGTGGTTCCTAAGGTGTTGATATGCGGTTGCTATGGTGCCCGGGGTGGTTGCTAGGGGGGTTGCTATGCGGTTGCCAAGGTACTCAGGGTGGTTTCTAAGGTGTTGCTCTGCAGTTGCTAGGGTACTCGGGGTGGTTGATAGGGTGTTGCTATGCGGTGGCTAGGGTGTTGCTATGCGGTTGCTAGGGTACTCAGGGTGGTTGCTAAGGTGTTGATATGCGGTTGCTATGGTACCTGGGGTGGTTGCTAGGGGGGTTGCTATGCGGTTGCCAAGGTACTCGGGGTGGTTGCTTAGGTGTTGCTATGCAGTTGCTAGGGTACCCAGGGTGGTTGATAGGGTGTTGCTATGCGGTTGCTAGGGTGTTCTGGGTGGTTGCTAGGCAAACACATGAACTTCTGCGGAGCAGTATGAGTAATGTTGTAATCGATCAGCACCGCGATGGTGAGATTAGTTCGTGCCGTGTATGTCCTACCTGCGCTTCGTTGGCAGTCGTACATTCAGTCTATCGAGCCATGTTTCGTCCTACTTCTGGGTTGTTTGGCTTCCCATAATAACGTTCAGCGAACACGACGTGTGGAATCAGTGTCAGATTCAGCAGCAGCAGCGAAGCATCGCAATGATGAGAGTCTAGCTGCTGGATGCTCACATTCAGTCCGACCACGCTGGAACTGTGCAAACGCCACTGGAACCAGTCCAGTGAACATCCAAACGCCTGCAGATAAAGCCAGCGAAGCTCAGCGGTCCCGCAGGAGATTTAGCAGAAATCACAGGCTAAAACACTCGGTCACAGAAGCGCAGCTACCGTCTGCATCTCTACATACAGTAACACAGATGATCAATGCGAAACACTCGCACGTGTGCGTCCGCTC